TACTGGAGCCCATGTGCACCATTGGTTTGGAATCAGGGTTTTCCAACTCCCCTAGGTGGACTCTCCATGTCCACCGACTGACAGAGGACAGTTTATATTCATTTCGGTATAATGCAGACCAGATCAGTCTAATTCAGTCCTGGATTTATTTCATTACGATACCATTGCCAGTGTTATTTCTATTCTAATACAAATGCTGGTTATTCTAGGTGACACCCAATATAAATGGAATTCATTTACAAAGACGTCTAATTCTGGTGTTAATTCAATAATACTGTGATTCCAGTCTAGTTGTATTCATTTAATCCAACTATTCTTCGATTGTTTATTACTATTGTATATGTTAACGAACCTAATTACTGAAATACATATTCAAGGACATTCGTGTTCTAGTTTTTACTCAATTCATTTCTCCTCAGTCATCGATTACGAAAAAAGAAAGTAACGTTTAGCCATGTAATTTTCTCCAGAGTGTTGTGGTGTATAGCGAATGAACTAGTATTCGATCGAGATATAAGCTTAATACAATGTTTTAAAATTTCTACACAACCTCACTAGATAAGAACACTTAGAATATTCACTTGTTTATCAGATATACGCATATCGCCAAAGTCAGCAAGTAACTATCATTATGAAGTAGAATTTGGCAATCACTAGTTTTGTTGCCTTTTCCTTCAGAACACTAGTAACTAGCTAAATAGAAAGATAATATACGGATGGGATTTTTTGTGAAGTGAATTCCTTCCACAGTTGCTTACAGATACACTGTAACAAAGGTTGATAACATCTGCCAGATAGATCTCTAACCATATGTAGTAAGACAGCAATATATTAAGCAAGTAAATGATTATGATCAATACTTTTGGACAGAGCATAGAATACTGGACATCTTTGGTACGAATGAGTTTACAACATAATTTACTGGTTATTACAATTACCGGAACGGAATAGGGTTAATAAACAATATTCTTTTTAATGTCGGTATTGAAGTTGATTTGCTCTGGAAAACTACCTATAGATACCAGTAGACTGTTAAATAGCCGATTAGCTCTTAAGTTTCGGATTATTATTTCTAGTGAGACTGAAACATGACCTCCGCTAAATCTGTTTAAAATACTTGCGATTTAATCGGAATACCAAGACAATCCACACAGAACGAACGTATGTCGAAAAAGACTGGTCAATTACAGTTCTTAGTATCGATAATGAGAAGATCCGAACATCCCTAACAAGTGAATTTCGTTTCAACAGTCAAAAACCTTGATCTCAAGAAATAGACAGTGTTATGCAGTAGACTGGAGATACTATTTCTACAAATTCCACTGGTTTTTTCGTGACTGTAGAGGTTTATGGTTTAAACATCAAACAGGAGACAGTTAAGGTATTAAGTGGTGAACTTTATATGATCTATCAGTGTACTGTCTACAATTATTAGTATATGTATGTAAACGCTGAAATATACAATGCGGTTGAAGTTATTTGACAATTTTCAAGTGGATGTTTTTCATTTATTAGGCCTACTTTGAATTTTTGTCTCATGTATTGACGATTTATATGATCACTTTTCTTTACAACAAATGCGTCTAATACGCAAATAAGGCGTTGTCGCGAAGTGTTTATCTTGCATCGGCAAAGTAGTAAGCAATTTAGCAAGATGACGTTGACAACAAGTTGAAAGTAGTATCATGTAATACACTACAAATATTGAGCTTACATACGTGCTATTATTTATATGGTGCCGTCACTTTGTACACCAATCTAGGTTGTTTAGGTTGAAACAATGACCCTAAGTGAAACACAACATTGAAAACAAGTAAACAATCAAGTGGTCTACACAAGTACAGATACAAACAATTCGTAAAAATAATGGCATGCTTTTTTGAGATTAGCATGATAGCGAATTAAGGAAAACTACTCAAAACACATATTTATACGTTCAATACCCAATATGAAATCCAATTCGGATAAACGACTACTTACTCGTCTTCTATCTAACAGGGATGGGATGAAACTTCTTTTTTGAGGTGGGTGGGCGGTAAGTGGCATTTGCATAACATCCTTGGTGAACCACTCTTCCCACGTCTGGAAGTAATGGATTTACAATATGGTTTACCTCAAACGGTCCTTCTTTCGAATCAGCAGTAATACCCTCACCCTTCACAGATTTGTGAACAATCTCCAAATCACCATCGCTTAACAACACTAACTGTCCAGTATGTGGGTCACGTATACAACGCCACTCTACGCTTGATCCTCCATCTTCGATGTTAGTGTTACGCAAAAATTCGTCAATAGCATCAGGTTTTCCATGATAAATATCTGGCTTCATTATAGGTCTTCCAGAGGTATCATAACCAATGTGCGCTAGGGAATCATACCATTGCAATGGTATGTTTCCAACAGTATTTCTCACGTCCTAATTTATATTAATAGACACTTTCAACCTTACTTCTTCATCTGAAGAGTCGAAATCATACTCATCACCCGTCCGTGATGACAACAACATCGCAACGTGCAAGCCCCGTACCGCAGTGGTTGTACTTGCCGGTCAGCCAGTCTACAATAGTAAGGTTTGAGGTTATCCGACCGATAATAATTCTTGCAATTTGTAACACTGTGGAGGTCAAATCTCGTTTTTAATGGATCAACAGAAGGTGCTGATATTACGTATATAAATTGCGCGCTCTATTTAAAAGGACAGTGGTATTCTTTCTCGTTGAGTTAATTGACTGTTTTGATCGTACATTACGCATCAAAACTACTGTTTACACTTTAATTGCATCCACCCCAGTTAAAGTGATATTGTATTGAGTTTTTCGATTTTGCTTCTGTGTATTTATTGCATCGAAGCATACTTGGTCGACTTTTACTTGATTTATTTAGTTAAGGTTTGAAAATCTTTTTACATATCCTGTTTTTGTCACCGTTCTAGCTGATTTTCAAGATGGCTAGGTCTTCTCATAAATGTGGACAACCATACTGCTTATTTCCTGTGGATGAAGGGATGCAATGTGATGAGTGTAATAAGTGGTTCCATAAGATGTGCACCCGATTAAGCCCCACTGCATATAAAAGGTGTTCAAAGCCCAATTCTCATTGGCTCTGTGGTTTTTGTTGCTCGAGCAAAAGATTGCTTATCCGGGAAGCAATTAGTCTCCTGGTGTTGGCTAATAAGAAGGTTGATGAGGGCTGTACTGATAACATTGGTACTGATGGCGAAGATTGCGTTAGTGTCGTAAGTGCTATCACGGCGCAAGCCAGACATCTACCTGTGCAACCCGCAGTTAAACGTTCTCCCCGAAACGATCAGTGAGTGACACGTCATTGGACGTTGGTGGCCATATTGCTACAGCAGCAACCGGTGACCCAGATAAAACAATTACTGTCCCGAGTTGTTCTAATGTCGACGTTTCGACTGATGGAAAATGGATGACGCGAAAACGCAGAAGAGTAGGAAAGATAGCTAAAACTAATGACTGTTTACTTGGTAAGTCCTTGGTGGACTCTCAGACCAATCCGCCAAAGTCCCATAGTAAAGCTTCGTCTAACATTGTTGTGAGTCATTCGCTTGACTCCCAGGACTCTGTTAAAATAAAAACTAATCGTAAGATACCAGTAGTTAAAATACAGGATCTAACGTCACGGTCGAAAGCTGTGAACACAGTTTCAAAAGAAGCTAAACCCCTCCCTAGTTTAATTATTTGGAATCTAGAGGAGTCGAAAGACAACGACCTTGCTAAAAGACATTCACATGACCTGCAGTTAGTGGAGTATGTGGTAAGGAATGTACTACCTGAAGAGGTTTCAGGGGTACATATTACAAAAGTAATACGACTTGGTAAATGGGTTGGAGGCGAGACCCAACCAAGAAGAATCCTAAAGCTGGTTATCGGGAGTTTTGAAGAAAGAGACATATTATTGAAAAGCGCACTAAAAACTCGTGCCTCAAATATCCGTATTCGACCAGATTGGCCGCTTGAGGATCGAATCAAGTGGAAGAATGCTCTTACGGAGTTGAGGACTCGCAAATTAAATGGCGAGAATAACCTTACCATTAAGGGTTTTCGGGTAGTCAGGTCTTGGAAGCCAATGCTTCCGAGGCCTGTATGGGTAGAACGATTGATTTCCAAAATACCTTAAGTGTGTGCTACACGAACGCTCGTAGTCTTAGAAATAAAACGTCCGAGCTAAGTCTAATGGTGGAAGAATTATGTCCCAATATAATCGTTGTTGCAGAAACTTGGTTCACAGTAGATATAGACTGTTCTCCTTTCATTGCTGGTTATATCTGTATCAGAAATGATCGAGTTTCAAGTCGCAAAGGGGGAGGTATAATATTCTACGTTAGGGATCACTTTCGTATACAATCAACCATATCGGAGGCTCATATCAGTGGCACATGTGAGGTTGCATATTGTAAGATTAAATCTAGAAATGGGTTAGTGACTATACCATAATCCGTTTTGTCTTGCTAACGACTTTATTCTAAGACACATCTGTTCTTGGAGTATGGCAGAATGTTGTCTCATCATTGTGGACTTCAACGCACCACATATCAACTGGATAGAGCTTACAGCTCCAGGTAGTGGTTTCGATAGCGACCTTTTATCTACCGTAATTCAGTGTGCACTTGTACAATGTATCACAAAACCGACACATATTGATTTGCAACATGTTCAGTCAACGCTGGAGCTGGCCCTTACCTTCGATAGCATCTGTGTTGCAATGCGTAGTTGTTTTTAATTCATGACTTACTACTACCCCTAATTCTTTATGCTCTTGAACGCATGGAAGAGGTTTACCCTCAATAGTGTAACGGTAACTATTACCGTGACCGATGTGCATTAACACGCTCTTTCTAGCATTGATTTCTAAGCCCACTCTCGAGCCCATCTAACTAAATCGTCTAAGTCAGCTTGATCATCCAGATGATCAGCCTCTCTTTTTATTGTTCTCCAGATTTTTACATCATCCGCAAACAGGTCGTGCAGTACATCCCTGATAGACTTCTTTAACGAGGTTACTCGTATGCGTGACCAGAAGAAACTAGTTATTATACTATACTTCGATATTAAGAAAGCCTTTGATAAAGTACCTCATAATCTTCTAATCAACAGACTGAAGTCAGTTGGAATTATAAATCCCCTTTTGCAATGGATCAAGTCTTTTCTTACGAACAGATATCAAATAACCAAGATTAACTCTAATACATCTACACCTCGACCGATAACCAGTGGTGTTGTGCAGGGTAGTGTCTTGGGTCCATTGCTCTTTATAATCTACATCAACAATATATGCAGGTGTTTCAGCACAGGTAAGACCTACCTCTATGCCGATGACTTAAAAGTCATCTATAAAACTGACATTTGCGATTTACGCAGTACTATGCAAACAATCCAACATGAACTCAACATGGTAGATGACTGGTGCAAACGCTGGAGGTTAGAGCTCAACATAGAGAAATGCGGCTGGTTATGTATAGGAGACACGTCTCTTAAAATGAAACTAACAATTAGCGATCACGCACTCCCCAGACTGGCATCAGTAACTGACCTAGGGGTACATTATTCACACAGTCTTAATTTCTCTGAACACATCTCAGCCAAAGCATCCAAAATGCGGAAATTGCTTGGCTTCATTCTCCGTAATTTCTATCAAAATGAATCTAAAATCCTTCTTTACAAAGTTTGTGTAAGACCTATCGTTGAATACTGCTCGTTCTTATTTTCCAACCTACGTCTATCTGATATACTAAAGGTGGAAGGAATACAACGAGACTTCACCCGCAAAATACTTAAGACTGGCTCGGTCATTGACTACAGTTCCCGATGCCAAATCTTAGGAATAGCACCCCTTTGGGAGAGAAGGCTTAGGTCTAATTTGATTCTCTACTTCAAACTACTCAAAAACCTTACTTACTCAACATGTCAGATAATTCTTGCCCGAGATTCACATGAATACGAACTTCGAAACAAAGTATCTACGGTCAAAGTTGAGAAATACAGATCAAAAACTCGGGAAAACTTCTTCCTCACCAAGTATGCAATAATATGGAACAGTCTTCCTTCCGAGACTCGCATGGCAGATGAACTACATACGTTTGTGAAACTGCTTGATCAAGCCCTCACTCGCACTGATCTTGCACGTACGAACACATCTGCACCCCACTCAGACATCATAGGCTCTCTCCATGTCTAGACCAAAATGGACTTCAAGTTCAGTTTGCCTTATTTTTCTTACTTTGCAGTTGTATTAATTACTTTTTCCACCCCATTTCTTCACTTGAAGTAGATAGGTAACTCACTGGACCTATCATTACTGTCAAACTAAACTCGGTCGATAAGGGACAATCACTACCACCCTAAAAAGTCAAGAGGACCCGACAATCGGCTGCCTACTACCAGTGGTCTTGCATCTATGGAACCTGTTACCAATCAACTGGTTAAGACAACAGAAAATAACATCAGCACCAAGTTACTGTGAGTTCCTTCCTGTTTATCCTATATTAACTTTTTACTCTTCTGTACACAATGTTGACTAGCAATTAATATTATTTCTCTACTCGTTCCCTTATCCACAACTCATACTTCTATACTTTTTCCGCCTGCTTAAATAAACAACTATCCTACAATATACCCTTCTTAACGCTTATACTCTGTTTGGCAAACTATACTTTATACTATAGTCAACAGAGGCACTGCATCGATGCTTTACCCACAGTCCACAGCTTGTAACTGCCTGATAAGCTTGTAAAATGGTACTTATAGAAATAGTGCTTTCCAACAAGTTGTGAAACAGAGGATTGTGTGAGGTATGACGTATATACAAAAATAAGCTTAAATGAGCCTAACATCACAAAAGGAGGGAGGGTGGAGTTACTGACCAGCAAGCATTGATGGTGAGGGCGATAACTTCAATCCACCCGTGTTTGTGGGGACAGAACATTTTGTATGTATCAGGCTCTTTATAATTGAGAATAAGACAGTCAATCTAAGATATAGATTGTCTTCCTACGCTCACCACTCAGACTCATGTTTCCAATAATATGCTGGATTAGCTATTCTACTAAGACAACCTATAACATGCTAACTCAGACTTTTACACTAGGATTGCGTGGCTGACATCGGATGGACAAAAAAAGAAAAGAAAAAAGACAATAAAAGATATAGTCACTAGTATTCTTAACACTTCACCCTCTATATATACACCCTTCTAATAAACCGCTTCCCTTGTACCAACCTTGACTTCCCTTCCTTCATGTGAGCTTACTCCAACTTGTTAAACATCACTACTCGTTGTTCTTTATTAGTACATTCTCTAATATGGAGCCTCTGACTTCACTTCACTCTAACAAGACATAATATGAATTTATTCTAATTTATTATACCTCTGTCCGTTCTACTACACAATGTTAAGCAACCTTTGGCGTTCATATCCAAGTGCCTTGCTGCTCCTCTGTTTCTTTTTTTTTCTCCTTCAGAATCTTGCTCTGAGAGCACAACTATGAAACTTCTGACGTTTGGAGCAAACTTAACGTACGCGTCCTCTCAAGGTCATAGTTTACAGCAAGCGCTCTACGATCTCACTTTATAACAACTATAAACTTAATAAGTTGGGAAGCATTTTGCGAACCAACAAATATTGTAATTTATAGATCATGCCTGTAAAAACGGTGTGTACCTGCACATGCAGAAATATATTATTATTATTATTAATAATGTCGACGACTTAAGTAACAGTGGTAACTCATTAACATAGGGAAGGAAGAGCAGAGGGCCTAAGATGGTGCGTTGGGGTACACCACTTTTGACCGGCTTCCAATCGGATAGCGTTCCATTGACCCTCACTCTCTGTCTGCAGTCACATAAGAAATTTCCTATCCACTCATGTACAGTACCTATTATTCCGAAGCTCGTGAGCTTCTGCATAAGACCTACGTGTGAAACCTTATCAAATGCTTTGCTAAAATCTATGAGTATCACATCGACAGACAGACCGTTATCTAGGGCTGTTGTCCAATCCTCTCTCGCAATAAGCAAGTTAGTCAAGCATGAACGCTTGTTACGAAATCCGTGTTGCTCAGGAGCTAACAGATTGTGTAAATCTATGTGGCTTAGCAACCTAACCTGAATTATCTTTTCAAGTAACTTAACGACTATGCTAGTTAGACTGACAGGCCGGTAGTTAGATACTATCTGTCTCTGACCATCCTTAAATATAGGACTGACTATAGCGTCCTTCCAATCTCTAGGGAGTTGAGCGAGTGAAAGGGACATGTTGAAGAGTGTCGCGAGCGGTTTTGAAATAATGTCCGCAAGAGATGACAGCAACCGTGGATGTAACCCGTCAGGGCCCGGTATCTTACCAGGTTTGAGGTTAGTTGTCAACGGAAGGACAGTTTCCTCAGTCACCGGTACAGATCCAATGGTTGGTATCTCGGTGTGAGTGGGACAAGTATTTGTTACGATAAACGTAGAGTAGACTTCGCTAAAATAGTTTGAAAAAGTCTCAGCTTTTGCTCGATCTGATTCAGCTAGTAAATCTGAATTTTCGTGTAACAGTAACGGGGGAATACCATCACTACGTTTCATACGCCGTTTAACATACGAAAACAATAGTTTCGGACAAGTACGGCTATCATATACTAACTGTGGTTCGTAAGTGGTACGGGATTTGGCTATGGTTTTCTTACAGATATTATGGAATTTTTGGTACTGACGCTTAAATGGTGCATGACCTTTCAACAAGAATAAGTCCCAGAAGTGTTGCCTACGTTTTAACAGCTTCCGGACTTCTTTATTAATCCATGGAGGGCAATGTGATAGTGTAGTGGCATTGGACCATAACCACACAATCTTCAAAGCTGAACATAAGACTACTCAGAAAATAGATATTCAATATTTAACACGGAGAAATACCTTACAATGGATAAGGCGCGGAGAATGAATTGACTGGTCTGGAGTTGATCGAGTGGCATGGCTCGGACATGCAGGCGTGGTCTCTGCCGAATGTTACCTTATATCTTCCATTCATATTAAATATATTGTTCCTTCTCTAGACTAACCTTGTTCTACATCATGTATTGGTAATTGATACGATACAGTGAGCTGGTGTAGTCGATGGTGTGACTTCCACGTAAGATCTTATAGATTAGGCAGTTATATCATGACGAATCTACAAATTTAGGATTGGGTCTATTATTAGAGCAGTACTAATATCATAGTAGACCATAATTCTACAATAGCTTACGTGCTGACCATGGGATAAACGGCGACGTTATGGACTCGAATATAGCCTTAAACTTATTCTATTCATCTTCGATCAGTCCATCCGCGTCGGCCGATCAATCAGCCGAGATAGCACAGTTTCTGATTGCCGGAATATTGGCTCACCGGATATTGGGACGGGGTGGAGCAGATACAAATTGTATGCCATGTGTCCTAAACTTAAAGTAAAGTACAGTGTGATCACTGTTCACTAGTGGGGAAAGGTGCCGAATATCAGACTTAATCTATAACCACGTAGCCGGAATGACTGTTCTCGTACATAAATTACACAGAAAAACAAAGAACTGGATTTCAACCCGATTATTTTAAAGTGTTTAAAATTTGTTCACTCTCATCCACCGAGTCAGATCCTCTTGATGATCGTGGTTACATACTCCTCTCCAGTTTCACATTGAGCGATAGTTTCTGATGAAGGTCACTCAAGTTAAAAAGAGAAAGGGTTCCAGTACCCAACCCTGATAGAACACACAAGGACATTCTGTTGCCTTGGAAGAGCGAAGTTTACCTTGACCCTAAAATGTTGATCACTTAGATATGAAGTAAGCCATTCTATTAACAGTGACTTGATACCTAACCGTTTAAGCTTATTGAAAAGACATATATGGTTTACCTTATCAAAAGCTTTGGAGAAATCAAGGTGTACGGCATCAAACTTCCTCTTGCTATCAAGAATGGTTGTCTATCTGTCCACCATGGTCAGCACGTTGGTTACACAAGAGTGACCATTATTGAAACCGTGTTGTGTGGATACTAAAAGGTTTCTGGGTAATAAGCAGTCACGCTGATCTTTGCATACCAGGAAGTTCTTAATATTTGGGGGTATTGAGAGAAGTGCTCCTGACAGTTAGCTGGAGGGCTTGTAGAATTACGGTCTACTATGATATTAGTACTGCTCTAAAGATAGACTTAATTTTAAGATTGTAGATTTGTCATGATGTAACTGCTTAATCTATAAAGTCCTACGTGGATGTCACATCATTACCTACACTGACTCATTCCTATTGTAACAATCATCAATACACATTGAGGCTGGAAATAGATCACTATATTTAATATAGATAAAAGGCTGTTATATAGGTAGGATCATGCCTGCAAAGCCGAGCTACCCCATTTGATCGACTCGAACTAATTCGATTAATTGTTTCCACCTTCTCCATCGTTGGGTTTTTCTCGCGTTAAATGTTGAATAGCTATTTTCCCAGTTGTCTCGAGTTCAGCTATGAGGATTGTGTGGTTAGGGCCCAGTGCCGCTACAGGTTCACAATGTTGGCCTTTTTTAGAAACTTGTGTAATGTGCACCAGCTTACAATTTTCTAATACCGTGTCTCGGCGAATATGTGAACATCAAGCTAAGCAGCTTTGTCAAAACTAAAGCCGCTTCTCTAAGTATTGCAGAATGGACCATACCCGGATCAGAAGTGTACGTATTTGGATGCTGCACTTTTTGGCACACTGGTTCAGCGCTTAGCTTCAATTCTAAGATTGCTGTTGGGTTTCTTGTAAAGTTCTCATCAATTCGCTTGGTACAGGATGGTTGAATTATCCGAAAGTACTGTTATGCTGAAATGTCGGCAACGTCACTGTTGTCACTGGTTGGGCCACTAGGGTATAGCAATTGAGAAAATCTGGTTTTGACTTGTCAAAGAGAAGCTACATGATGGGACTTGCTCTTCGAATGAGAGACGTTTATCGATCAGGTTTGACTGATACTAAAGCCTGTCTTCTCTTATTGCCTTT